GCACACGGGGGGCAGAGTCCGCCGTGCCACGACGGCCCCGCGCTGTCCTCTGAGTCACAAAGGTCCCGCGGCCGCCGCACGGCGCCCTCGGGGTAACCGAGCGGTTGGGGGGACGCGGCCCCGCGACGGGCCCGGGGGGAGCTGCGCGTCCCATGGCTTCCTCACGTGCAGCCCAGGCTGTGCTGGCACGGCCAGCCGTGAGCGCGCCGGGGACCGCCGAGTTTGTCTTCGTCTGGGAGATAACGGCACCACGGCCGCCACCGCTCTGCCCTTCACCCCGCCGCCCCACGCGTCGCACCCGTCGGGCTCCCGGCTCCGCTGACGTGGCCGAGGCCGTGGCCAAGGCCGGCACGGGGCCGAACGCTTCTCTGCGCCCGACGCGTCCCGATGGGCTGCCCGGGCCGGGGAGGTGACACCGTGCTGGGGGCCGTGTGGGGACAGCGGAGCAACCGTGTCCCGCGCTGGAGGCACGGCCCTGGCCTCGTCCTTGTTTTGCTGCCAGAGGGGGAACAGAGCCCCGAGGCACGAGCAGAGCGCAGGTAAAGGCAGCCGAACCCACTCGTGTTCCTGCAGGATGGGGTGCGGGTGGCAATTCCCATCGCTTTCTGCATCTCCGGTCAAACCTCGGTGTTCCCGGGAGGTGCTCGTTTATTGCACCTCTGTGAATTCCTTCGGATTTTGGGAAACGCAGCACGGGTGCCCCGAGCACATCCCCTCCTCCTGCTGGGAAAGGAGCAACGCTGCGCTGTGCCCTCACCGCTCCGGGAGGTGAGCAGCTCACCGGGGAACAAACCCCGGGCTTGCTTAACGCTGGGCGTGTTGCGTCCGACCGTTGCACAACCATCACCGATGACTGTTACACCGATGTGCTTTTGGGCTTTCTCACAGTGAATCATTAACCCTCGGTTACAACCACGGGCTGCAACACGCTCTGCTGCCTTTCCCGGCTCTGCTCCGCGCCGGCGGCTCTGGGCCATGTGCAGCCGAGCCTCCCTCCGCAGCCATCCCGCAGCCCCCAGGGAGCGCTGCCGGGTCGGGCCGGGCCGAGCCGTGCCGGGCGGAGCGCAGCGGCGATGGGGCCGGGCTGCCGGAGGGCCGTGAGCAGCTATTCCAGCCCGCAGGTGGTGGTGGTGAGGGACGGGCTCCTCGGCACCGCGTATCGGGCATTGCAGCTCCTGGTGCTGCTTTATTTCATCGGGTGAGTGGGATGGGGTAGGAACCGATCTGATCTGACCCTGTGCTTCGCTGTGCTGGCAGCTCTGACACCTGTCTCTGTCTTTGTCCCTGTCCCGATCCCCGCAGGTATGTGTTCATCGTGCAGAAGGGCTACCAGGAGCGAGAGACGGGCCCTGAGAGCTCCGTCATCACCAAAGTGAAGGGCGTGACGCAGTCGCCGAGCAAGGTCTGGGATGTTGGGGAGTACGTGGCCCCCCCCGAGGTGAGCTCTCACTCTGCTGCTCCGGAGATGCTCGGCTCCTCCTGGCTGTGCCGTGACCGCTGTCCTCCCCCTGGGCTCCTCTGTAGGGTGGGAGCAGCTTCAGCATCCTCACACGGGTGGAGGTGAGCGCTGCCCAGGCCATGGGGACGTGCCATGAGGTGAGCATGGTGGGCACGGGGCAGGGTGGTGTGTGGGGAACAAGCTGTGCTTGGCAACTAAGAGGGAGGGGGAGGGGGAAGGTGGGGCACCAGTGAACACAGCTGTTCCCCATGGCAGGAGGTGAATGGATGTGTGCCCACCCCACCATCCCCATTGCCATTCCCATCCCCATCTCCTTCTCTATTCCCACCCCATTCCCAACCCTATCCCAATCCCCATTCCTATCCCATCCCCATCCATCTCCTTCTCTATTCCCATCCCATCCCCATTCCCATTCCCATCCCAATCCCCACCCCCCCGCAGGGTCCCAGCGCTGCATGCCACTCAGAGCAGGACTGCATCTCTGGGGCCATGGATGCATCCCACCACGGTGAGTCCAGGAGGCACAGCACATTGCCTCTCCTCGGGCAGGACCCAATGCTGAGTGCCCATCCCCTACCTTGCAGGTGTGAGGACGGGGCGCTGTGTGCCCGGGGGCAGTGGGAGAAGCTGTGAGGTGCTGGCCTGGTGCCCTCTCCATGGAGGCAGCAGCAGGTACAGGCAGCGTGCTGGCCTGGGTTGTGCACAGCCCCCACCTGGGGATGCACGATAAGGGGCAGCAATGTCCCTGTTGTGAGGCTGGCTGAGAGCTGCAGTGCTCTGTGCTCACTCCTCTGCTCCCAGCGAGTCCCTGGCGGAGATGGCAGAGCAGTTCACCATCCTCATCAAGAACCACATCCGATTCCCCCGCTTCAGCTTCTCCAAGTGAGCACTGCAGGTTCCAGGGCTGATGGTTGGGATCCAGGCAGTGGCCCCTCGTGGCAACAGCAGCAGCAGAGATGCTGTGTGGCACAGCACATCCCTGCAGGGCCCTCTGCAGATGCTCCGGCACCAGTCCCACCCCATCCCCTGACGCACAGCTCCCTGCCTTGCTCTCCCCAGGGCCAACATTCAGGCTACCGAGAGCCACTACCTGAAGAGCTGCACCTTCAATGCCACCTCCGCGCTGTACTGCCCCATCTTCAGGCTGGGCTTCCTGGCTGAGCAGGCAGGCGAGGACTTTGCAGTGCTGGCTGAGAAGGTGCGGTGCAATGCGCAGCCTCACCCCAACATCCCCCAGCATTGTGGGTCCCTCCCTTTTGGCTCTTCTGGGGAGCTCCTTGTCCTGGGGAGGCCACATCCTGGGGATACAGTGCCCAGGGGATGCTGTGCACCTGGGGATGGTGGGCACCTGGGGGTGCTGTGCCCAGGGGATGCTGGGCACCTGGGGATGGTGGGTGCCTGGGGATGGTGGGCACCTGGGGATGCTGTGCACCTGGGGATGCTGTGCCTGCAGTGTGCTATTGCTGCACAAGCTCTGCTGCCCTGCTGCAGGGTGGAGTGATCGGTGTCATCATCAGCTGGGACTGCAACCTGGATCTGCCTGACACCGAGTGCAACCCGCGCTACTCCTTCCGTCGCCTCGACCCCAAAGGGACTTTGGCATCGCCAGGCTACAACTACAGGTGACAGCCCCATCCCCTCAGTGTCCCCGTGTCTTCCTCCAGCCCTCACACCTGCGCCCGCACGCCTTCCAGGTTTGCCAAGTACTACAGCTGGAACGGGACCTGCACACGGGTGCTGACCAAGGCCTATGGGATCCATGTGGATGTGATTGTGCAAGGCCAGGCAGGGAAGTTCAGCCTGATCCCCACGGTCATCACGTTGGCCACTGCGCTCACCTCAGTGGGACTGGTGAGTGTCCCGGGCTGTGGGGCTCAGCCCATGGCCCTGCACTGACCTCACTGTGCTCTTCTGCAGGGCTCCTTCCTCTGCGACTGGGTGCTGCTGTGCTGCATGGACAAGGAGCGGCGGTACAGCAGCAGGAAATTTGAGCAGGTACTGGTGGGCTGAGGATGCTCCTCTGCAGCCCCAGAACATTCCCCTCCATCCCCAAACTGACATTTCCCACACAGAGCTGTGCCCATGGCTGGGCAGAATGCACCTTACAGCCACCCGCTACTGCTGCCAATAAACCATCACTGCTCAGCACGCCTGTGTCAATGGAAGGATGCAAGAACCACTGCTTGCTGCGACTGGGGGAGAAGAGCCAGGGGAGCTGAGGGGCTCTGGGGCTGCCACCAAGGCACAAACCCTGCCCAGAGGCTGCCTGCAAAGCCACAGTGCTGCTGGCCCCAGCCCAACAGCACTGTGCAGCTGGCGCCTGGCAGTAAGCAAGTGGGGTGTTATTTCTGAGCATAATCCACTGTTTTCCTGCTCTCACGTTACAGCACAGCCTCCTACAGTGGCTCAGGGGAGAAGCAGGGTGGGGGGTGAGGGGAGGGCTGCAGCACACAGAGCCTCAAGGGCTGTGGGAAACACCCCAGAGCAGGGTAGGGTGCGCTGCTGGGGTGGAGGACCCCACGCTGCTGCTCCAGGGCTGTGCTGTAGGACAGCAGTGACTGCACCACTCTGTGCTCAGGCTGAGCCCCAGGGAGGCACTGCCCAGCCCTGGCTGCAGCCCCCTGGGATGCAGTTACCAGCAGTATGGGCTGAGCCAGACACTAACTCAATTGCACAAAGCAGCAATCGCATTAGGGGCTGGCTCTGCTGCCCCTCCAGCCCCGTTCATTTGGAAATGAGGGGCACAGCCTCCTCTGCTTGCAGCCCAGGAGCAAACAGAGGCAGCTCCCTGCTGCTTCCTGCACAGCCTGGAGCCCCTCTGCAAGAACCAGGCGTGCTTTAAACAAAGCATTTATTTATACATATTCTACATTAAAAACACACCAGGCCGGCACACGGAGTCACACCTCCAGCACTAACATCCACCCTGGGCACAAGATCCCTATGGAGCACAACTCCCACACACCCTGGCCCCGTGCTGGGCTGGCTGCAGGAAGCACAGCTCCTCCCCTGTTGATGCAAGCGCCCAGCAGTTCCTAACCAATGCAGGATGCAGGAGCAGCCTCAGTGCTGGAGCTGGGGGTTGGTGTGCAGCAGCCACTCGATGGTTTCCAGGAGATGGGCCATGCCATAGTGCCGGGCAATGTTCTGGAAGATGGTGATGTGCTCCATGAAGGTCTGAGGGAGGAGGGAGAACAGAAGCTCACACGGTGGACAGTGGTTAGAGGAAAGGCAGGAGGGCAGCTGGGTTTGGCATCCTATCCCTAACCCAGTAGGAAAGTCACCACGCAGGGAGCCAGCAGCATGGGGGTGGGCCAGGCAGCCTGCTGCAGGAGTACCTGGGAGGAGATGGTGAGGGCAAAGTCTCCAGCACAGCTGCAGTACACAGGCATGTGTGTGTCCTTCACGCCGTGGCACTTCTTGCACACCTAAGAGGCAAAGGAGCTTTAGGTGGGAGGGGATGAGACACCCAGCCTTCTGCTGGGCACACAACGGGCACAAAGACAGGGAAGTGCTGCCACGGGCTGATGAGACGTGTGGGACCAACGCCTCCGTGCTGTTTGCAAGGTCAATCTGCCCCCCCTAGGGCAGCCCGGTGCTCACCAGGTCCTGCAGCATGAAGGCCATCAGCTTCTTTTGCAGGGCTTCCACCAAGGCCATTTCTATGGAGTCAGAGTCGTACTGTGCCTGGCAGTTGGAACACACCCAGCTAGGCAGCACCGATCCGTCCTGGACGCAAAGGGAAGGGCAGTGAGCACAGAACAGACTCTTCCTAAGAGGAAACGGCCAAACAAAGCTGCCAGGGAAGTCCCCAGTGCCAGAGAGATGCAATCAGGGTGAACTCTGCTCCTGGAGAGAATGGAGCTCACAGCACTGGGGCTTCTCACAGAAAGCTGGAAAAGGGGGTGCACAGAAATGGGCTTTAGGGGAGGCTGAGCAGCACAGAGCCAAGCAAAGGGCATGAGGGAGGAAGGGGGATTGACACGCATAGAGCAAAGCCACGCTAAAGCCTCCGTGTCCACGGCTGCACCTGGGAGAGGGCTGGGTCCTTGCACAGGTCCAGGTCCCTGCAGAAGTTGCAGTTTCTGCAGATGACTTCAGGGAGCACATAGGAGCTGCAAGGGTCCCGAAACTGGGCTTCATCTGAGAACTCTCCCACCTCGATGAGGCGCAGCAGGTCCCTGCGCAGCTTGTTCACCTGGTTGGTGACATTGGCATCCAGGGACAGCACCTGCAAGGGACAGCCCAGTGAGCCCACCAGCAGAGTTCTCCTGAGGACAACTCACACCTCACACAGATAGAGAGCAGGGCAGGGCAAAACAAATTGGCTGCAGATCTGCAGGAAAGCTCTGACAGATCAGAGCCAATGGACTATAGAGTTTGAGCCCTGAGCACAAACACTCAGAGAAGCAGCCCAGCCCACCCGGCCAACCTGGCAAACATATTTGATGAACTCCAGAGCAGGGTTGTTGAGTGGCAAGTGGGAGCCAGGCAGCACCGGGAACAAGTCTGATGGCTCAGTGGTGTGTCGGGAACCAGACATCTTCTTCTGGATCTTCTGCGTGATGGTGAAGAAGCTCTGAGTGAGCTCATTGGCCACGTAATCCTGTGAGAAGGTGATCATGCCTAGGGAGACCAAGTGGAGAGCTGTGAGTGCATGCAGTGCAGCTGTGGCCGGCCAGGTGGGAGGCTCCCTGCCTTCCCCTGGGCTGCAGCAACGCCAGCCCCAAAAGCCCACGCTGGGCACCCACCAGGCATGGCTCCTGTCTCGCCCTGTGCCTCCTGGGTCACCTGGCTGGTGCCTCTTCTCTTGACAGGAGTGCTGCCGGGGGCATTGCGCCGCAGCTCCTCCTTCATGCTGTGGTACACGGCCACGATGTAGGCTGCAGGGACACCAATGGGGACAGCCCGTGTTGGGGCAGCAGCAGCTGCCTTGTTGCAGGGCTCTTGGGATCAACTGCCAGGCCCTACTCACCCGACACAATCATCAGGAAGTAGTTCTGGCAGGAGGCAGCCTGTGGCAAGAACTGCACGATGTTCCAACTGTTCTCCAGCAGCTCCTCCACGTTGGATTCGTCTTCCTCGTCTTCTTCCCCTGCCTCCTCCTCTTCCTCACTGTCTCCCTCCTCTAGTGCTTGCTTCTTGCTGGTATCCTTCTGGAACAGCACACAATGAGTCAGTGATGTTAAAGAGCTCCTCAGAGCCAGATGATGCTTCCCCAGTCAGCTCAACCCCAGCCTCAGCTCAGCTCCTTGGGGACTGAGTGCTTCCTCTCCCTTACCTCCCCGCAGTGGATGCGAGAATGCACTTTTCCCTTGATACCTCCGTAATTGGCTGGATCCATCCAGAGCAGGAACTCCCAGCAGCGGGAGAAGGAAATAGTCAGAGAGTGGAAGATCTCCTTTGAGTGGATGCTGGAGGGAAGAGACTGCAGTCACCCATGGCATCAGCATCTGCCCTAATTAACAGCCTTCTCCTTGGGATGGAGTGGTGTTGGCAGCGACAGGGCAACCACCGATGTTCTCCTGAAGGTCCCTTCTGGATTGAATCCTACAGGAGCTCAGGGAAGCCAGGTGCTGCCCACCTGTTAATAATGTACTCCATGTAGCTGATGGCATCCTCGATTCGCCGCTTCTTGGTGCACAGGATGATCCGGTTGAAGTTGGCGTACACCACCGAAGAGCCGAGGCGCCTGAACTCAGCCACCAACCTGCAGGCAGAGCACAGGAGCTGCATTCAGCATGCAGGAAGAACCGCTGCCATCCAGCTCCCCGTTAGCAGCAAACAGCACAGCGGCTCTGAGTCACGGCCCATCTGCAGCCCTGCGCCTTAGGAAGATGCAACAGAAGGATCTGGTTGGGGGTGCCAACAGCATCCCGGTCACAAATGTCATGCTATGCCTGTCCCTTCTTTCTCAGGGCCTGGTAAGCTCCCGTTCTCACTTACTGCAGGAAAAGCTTCTTCATCATGTTGTGCAACGTGCGGTGCAGCGCCGGGTCGTAGAGCAGAGAGGAAGGAGAGCGAAGCCAGCGGTAAAAGTGAATGACCTGGTTGTCTGCATAGATGTTGTGGTACTGCGTGATCTCCTTCACCCAGCTCACCACCATGCTCTTCAGAATCCTGCCAGGGAGCACAGAGGAACATCACCCCACCGGCCACAAACAATCCCTTCCTTCTTTCAGAAAGGGACAACGCTTTCAGAGGTATGCAGGATGACTCTGAGGCCCTCAGCCACAGGGTAAATAAGTGCCTCTGTAAGCCTCCAGCTCCTCCAGCCCTACCTGAACGTGTTGGAGCAGAGGGCGGTTTCGTCATAGCTGGCTGGGATGTTGGCAGCTTGGTTCCCTGTCACCATATCTTCCAAGGATGCCTGCTGAATTACGTCAAAGCTGATGCTCATGCTGGAACCCCCTTCCATATCATTTACATGATGGGACTGCAGCACTGTGTTCACAGCCAGGCTCTGGATGTCCAGCTCCAGGCACACTACGAAGAAGCACAACCTCTCAGCAGGCGGGCAGGGCATCCCCATCCCAGACTCTTCCCAGTGCTGCCATTGGCATCCATAAATTAGGAAGTGCATCCAGCCCCGTGCAGCGCGCGGAGAGCAGCACACCTGGCTCTGCCCTCCTCACCTGTGGAATAGCAGCCAGGGTTGTTTATCTCCACCGAGGCTCTCTCATCGAACTCCATGACGAGGCGGTTGTCATCGGCTTCCTTCCCCCCCAGGTCTGGGCGGGCCGTGGGTGAGAGCCACAGCAAATGGTTGTGACGACGGAGGTGCCGTGAGAAGAACAGGTCAGAGCCAAAGGTGGAGATGTCATCAGGGAGGTTACCGATGGGAATGTGGTAATATCTGGAAGAGAAGTACAGTCAGCAGGAGTGAGCACAGCCACGCCTGTCCCAACAAGGGACATGCAGCACCTGCCCTTGGCTTGGCTACAGTCTCTTCTCGGTGAGGAGCCTGGCAACCCTAGGGCGACGTGGCAACCCCAGTGCAATGTGGCCAACCCCAGGCACCTGCTCATCTCAAAGGCCTGGGACAGGCACGTGTCCAGGTTGAGGTAATGGCGGATCATCCGTCGGGCTGCGTGGCGCTGCCAGTCCAGGACTGAGTAGCTGATGTCATCCAACACCCGGATGGGGACCAGGGGGAACTCCTCCAGGATGGGAATGCTGCTCGCCAGCCGCTTCAGCTCCCAGTTGGACTGCACAGCAATCAACGTGGGACCCCGG